TCTTATTGACATTTTAAAAGTAATATTGAAAAGACTTTACTATGTTCTTTTGGTTAAAGTTTAACTTAGTAAGTTGGTGAAGTTCTCATTAATCGATGTTCCTTCACTGACGAAGAAACTATTCTTTGGAGCATTTAAATTTATAATTTCGGAACACTCGTTCCTCATATGTTTGTTTTTATTTGACAAAAAACCTTACTGCTCGAAGTCGTCCGCAACCACAGCAGTCACTTATTACTTGGTCCATAGTGTTGCACAAGCTGATTTCGTTTGTATTTTGTTATTGTAACAGGACACTAAAGATTACCAATGATTTCAAAATGCAACAATACTTGTAGGCTTTACGCCAGCACATTACCCTTGGTATTATGAAGAACAAGTGCTGAAACAAAGCTGTTTAAGATGCTAAATTTAATCTATATGTATTTAAAATAAATGGCCAACGTATATACTGCCGTCGTGTTCCACTTGATGTAAATCTCTGGTTTCGATTTTTCCAGAAATGGACAGTTGTCAGTTTGTATTAGTTCTTGCAAAAGGGGTCTTCGTAAAGGCCGAGTCTGATTTCCTAACATTAATCGTTGTCTCCTCATTAAAATATAAGTATTAGTTCTGATTCACTATTTGTTGATGTTTAACTTTCACAAAAGCCCAATATTTTCCGAATACAAGTTTATATCTTCTATTCACTTTGACCAGTTCGATTTATTTCGTCTTCTATTTCGAGAAAATGAAGACGCTTTTGTTAGTCCTGACATAAGCTCGTTTGGATTCCACCAAATTATTCAACTTCGGGTATAGACTAGACGTTCGCTTATCCAACAAAAGCTGTTATATTATGCGTTGGCCCTCTCTATAGGTATACATTTAATAAGTTCCATTCGCTGCAACAGACATATCTTTTAGACATTACCAATGAGCTATATTGGTTAACGGAAGTATTCAATTAGAAAGTTGTTGGCGCCACTAGGACCAAGAAATAATATCAGTCCATAACGTTAATTTCAGTCATGAGCCTTTCAGGCAGTTCCAAACTTTATGGTCCGGTTCCTTTATTTTCATCTATTTTATATAGACACAAACATCGGTAAAAGAAGGCACCAAATATACATGCGCCACACTTCATCATCTGATTTATGTGAGGACTGGAAAACTGCCTGAGTGCCCAAACCGAAGCAGGTGGTCTTCTCAGAAGGACACCCCCAAGTCATTGACCTAAAAGTCTTATCCACAAGACAGTGGAGAGATGCAGTCCCACGGTAGCCAGTGACCAACAATAGGTTGGCGCGCCATCTGTTCCGTCAGGATCCTGAAGCGTATGTGCACTATTGGTTTGGAAGCAGGGTTTTCTTGCTCTTCTAAGTGGTTCCTTTGTATCCACCATCTTGGTTAAAGCGTCGGACATTCGCCTTTCGTCCTCTGAATCTCGTAGACAAGACCCCACGACGAGAAGTGAGTGAGTAGGATTTCCCTGAGTGTTTGTATACATGTGGTCATGTGAGAACGTTTCGAGAGGGAGAGCAGACTCTACCTACCATCGACCACGCCAGGGCATTTAGAGGCGTTTGGTCCCTTAAGATTGTCATTGGTTGTAGTTGGAAATCTTAGATAACGTAGATTAAACTAGGTTGTAGAAATGCTAACCTGTCTTTATGTCCTGCTGCATTCCCATCTTAATGTCATTTTATACATCTTACTTTCTTACTCCCTTTCACTACCATCGATATCGTATTATTTCCAAGGTTTGGCGTGGTTGTATCAAACAAAGCTAACAATCAGTGGATCGTTTACGATAATAAAATAATTTGTTTGTAATATCCTAACGGGTAGAAAACAACAGCCGTTTGTGCGCTGTCCGACTGAACGGAACAGTAAGAATCCGGAAAGATAGGGACACTCGTCGTTGCCTCTTCGTCGTCTCTGCCTATTCTCCCACTAACTGCAGCTCAGATGATGTCAAAGATGAGTTTTACAGAAAGCTCTCCAACCTTCTCCGAAAAGCTAGGCACTCTGATGTAGTAATAGTGGCTGGTGACTTTAATGCTCAAGTAGGTAAACTAAGTGACGGGGAAAGACACCTAGGTGGATCTTATGGTATCGTGGCTCAAAGAACAGATAATGGCGACCGTCTGTCGCAGTTATGCTCAGATAACCGCCTGTTCCTTGCAAATACTAACTTTAAGCATAAGGAAAAACATCTTTTAACATGGCGACTCCCTAATTCGTCCCAACGTTGGACCCAAATAGATCACATCGCTATCAGCCACCGATGGAGGGGCTCGATAGAAGACTGTCGCTCATTCTGAAGCACATGCTTAGATTTAGATCATGCTCTAGTACGAACGCGTATCTGTTTGCGTCTTACTGGACGTAGGAAAGACGCTGCAAGGAAACCTCTTAGGGGCCTACTTAATGATAGTCAAGCTAAGAGTATATTTCAGGAAAAACTAGGAAAAGTTAGGCAGCCATGTATGTGATGCCCACCCCGATGCAGCATGGAATGATATCCGAAAAGCTGTGGAAACAGCAGTGATATCTGCTAGTAAGGTAAACTAGAAGGTTAGGGAGAAACACTGGATCTCAGCAGCATCTATCGCACTGATAGACGCTCGGAAACTCATTCCACCTGGCTCTGAACATAATGACAAGCGGATTCAACTTAAGCACAAGCTGAAAAGAAGCCTACGCAATGATAGCGAACAGTGGTGGGTAGCGAAAGCAAGAGAGATGGAAAAGGCAGCGGCAATAGGTAATAGCAGACAATTGTTCAGACTCGTTAAGGAAACCGGAATTAGGAACCCGACCGTTAGCGAAACAATCTCAGAGAAAGATGGACATATTATTCATTCTCAATCCAGGAGATTGGGTCGATGGGCAGAACATTTTAGGGATCAGTTCAACTGGCCTTCAGCCACACTTCGGTTTTGCACGATCTCCAGTCAACCTGAATGGCAAGTTAATGTGGGTCCTCCGTCCCTTTACGAAGTTGAAAAAGCCATAGGAAATCTGAAACGAGGGAGAGCAGCAGGCCCTGACAGGTTTACTCCTGAGATTTTTAAGGATGGTGGTCCAGTATTAGCAATGAGATTAACCGAGGTCTTAGGTAGAATTTGGGAACTGGACATAATCCCATCTAACTGATCTCAATCACTGATTGTGCCAGTCTATAAGAAAGGACAAAAGTCCTCTTGTGACAATCACAGAGGAATCAGTTTGACAAATATAGTATCTAAAATATTAGCTTCAATAATACTTCGACGCCTAACTAAAGCTCGTCAAGAGCAGACTAGAGAAAATCAGGCTGGTTTTCGACCTGGACGTGGTTGTATAAATCAGATATTTACACTACGTCAGGTTCAAGAACACAGACACACATTCAGACGCCCCACAATGGTAGTATTTCTCGACCTTAAGGCGGCATTCGACTCTGTTGATCGTGAGGTTCTATGGCAGTGTTTGTCGCTGAAAGGAGTACCAAAGAAGTACATTAACCTTATAAAGGCTCTCTACTCGAACACAACTGGTAGAGTGAGAGCTTATGGCGAACTGTCATCAGAATTGATTACCTCAAGTGGTGTTCGTCAGGGCTGTCCACTCTCCCCATTCTTGTTCAACTTTGTGGTCGACGTACTTTTAGAGCTAACACTCTCCTCATCTAAATTCCCAGGGGTTGAACTTCTACCGGGAGGTTCACTTGTTGACTTAGAATATGCAGATGACATAGTTTTATTTGGTGAAGACGCTGACAAAATGCAGAGTCTTCTGACCACTCTAAGCAACAATGCAAGCATGTTCGGGATGCGATTCTCCCCCTCGAAATGTAAAATATTTCAGGATTGGGTTGCATTGACCCCCGAACTAATGATAGGGGGTGAAGTAGTTAAGCGTGTCGATCGCTTCACTTATCTTGGAAGTCTCATCAGCCCTTGTGGTCTGGTGTGTGACGAAATCTCAGAACGGATACGGAAGGCTCGACTAGTTTTTGTCAACTTGCGTCATTTATGGCGTAGGCGAGATATCCGTCTATCAACCAAAAGACGGGTTTACTGCGCAGCAGTTCGTTCCGTCCTACTTTATGGCAGTGAAACATGGCCGGTAAGAGTAGAGGATATTCGTAGGTTACTAGTATTTTATCATAGGTGTCTTCGAAATATTGCTCGTATATCGTGGGACCATCGAGTAAGTAACACAGTTGTTAGGAAACGGGTACTAGGTAAGGATGGCAAATCCATTGATGACGTAGTGAAACTTCATCAGTTGAGATGGCTTGGACATGTGTTACGTATGCCCAACGACCGACTGCCTCGACGTGCTATGTTCAGTGGTATAGGAGTAGGTTGGAAGAAAGCTAGGGGCGGCCAGACCAAAACATGGCACAAGTCCATGAAGTCACTGACAAGTGGACTGAGTCATGTCGGTTGGTGTACACTACCTGGCTGGGGACCACGAGATGATAGCAACCGATGGTTAGAGACCCTGAATGACATGGCTCAAAATCGTTTGCAATGGCGCAGGTGCATACACTCTTTGTGTTCTCCCAAATCTTGATCTCCTTGTCTCTTTTTTTCTCTTCCCAAATTTATTTCACTGTATTATACTCTTTAAATAACATTTTCAGACCCCGATCTTCTCGATTACTGCTTATACTCTTATTGCCTCTACTACTACGGGATTTGAATCAACCACTGCATCTCTATGCTAATGTGGTGTGGCAACTCGAACTGATGTACGTACGTACGAAGTTCTACGTTGTTACTGACTGACTGAGAAAACAGAATTTATGTGGTTTAGGAGCTTAGTGTATTTCTTTTAAAGAAGCTGATCATCTGCGCATCATTCATTTGATTGTACCATCGGTTTACTCCCGACATCTAGTGGAGTTTTAGTCCGATAGCTGACAATTCCCATCTACAATTTTCATAAATCCTACTTTGTATTTGTCTACCTGATTCCGTCCGCATTACTTCTAAATTTCTTGCAGAATGTCAGTGAGTCGATAAATGGGAAAGAAAAAAATCAGCAACACACAGCCCTCGTGTGATTTTTGTTTCAGTAAACATGGTTTGGAGGATCTGGAGTCATTATATCCCACACTCATAAAAGGTAATCTCTTTTACAATGACTTACCCTTGCAGTTGCCGGATGTAATGAATTGCCCTTACTGGATTTATCTTCAATCCAAATGGATTTGGAGCAAATTCTGGCTAGCGTAGTAGAGCGTGTTATTTGCCTAAAAGCTGAGTCCAAAGGGAAGGGTTTACCTGTTAATATCATTTCTTCACTAAAATATCAAAAAGGAAGCTGTGAGCCTGAATCTAATCAACAATGTCTCTCGAAATCTTCGTTGGTTGTTAAAGCTAATCCTGACAAACCACTTACTTTAATAATATCTCAGCGCTCAGGTCCTTGTCCAAATTCTCAATCAATACTACCTGTTATTTCTAGTGGACTTAGCAAGGCCAAACCTTCGGTCAGTGCATTCGGCCTGCGACGGTCCAGCAGGGTAAGATAATATTTGAATCGTTTCATTTTTAAATTCTTTTCTAATATTTCATAATTTATCATTACTCTAAAATAGGACTTGATTTCAGTGTTTCCTTATATGAGATTGTTAGATTTACTACAACGAAGCACTGATATATGTTAGCGAAGTAATTCAGTAACCAAATATGGATATGTGTACTCGTCGTTGACTCACTTTTTATGTGAAAGTGGGAAATAATTCCGGTTACACAATCAAATCATTTTAAGATTCAACTCGTTTTTGGTTTTGCGAAATTCTCGTTCCTTGCAAATAATATGCAGAGCTACATCTAGTGATGTTATAAATATTCATGAAACTTTCACCTTGGTCAAAAAGCTTGTTTACTTTTCGTTAATATGTAGTATAATACTAGTTAGTTTTTGTCAGGAGCAAGAAGTAAACTGAGTTGGTAGTTACTGAGTTCAGTGAACAGCTTCTTTTAAATAAAACTGCAGCTGTTCTTGTTCAGATCGTAATGAGCGTAGAACTTCAGATAAGTGATATATTGGTTAATACAAGTTCAAATAATACTGTTTGTATAAACTAAATCACGGAAACGGGAAATAAGTAGATATATAGTAGAGTTGTTCCCAAAATATGTGGTATCCGATTCTCGGTAATCACCTTCAATGTATAGTTTGTTGTCCCGTCTTCGTTTATTATAACATATCGAACTTTTACTTCAATTGGAAGGTGATTATGTAATTGTGTTTTACTGACAGGGTTATTTGATGAATAGCCTGTACTAATAACAGGTTTTGACTACCTTAGGAGCTTGTTATACTTCTGTATATGCTTTTTTTCAGTCGTCCGTTGAAGAAGCACCTGAGGCGAATTCCCCCACATCTGACAAGAATCAGTTATCTGCAAGGTAATGTTTTTGCTGTTACAGTCTTTTTATATTACAACCCACAAATAACCGCCTAAAAAGTTATTACGATTTTTCTTTTTCTTTTCACTGTTGGATAATGTTTTTGTCAGTCGGTTGTCTATTCGATGATTATTTCCTCATGAGTTTTTAGTCCCAGATATTAAGAAAAGGAGCCTTAGCACCTTCTGCTAAACAAATTATTGGGGTTTATATCCATATTAGTAACTAGATATCTTTCTGTTGATCTATTTGGTACCACAAAGATACTATTCTGTGCATTTCACTAGAGAAATTCTTTTCATTTGTTTCCTACAACTTGATTGAGCCCAAACAAAATCTATCTTTATTAATCATGATCGCAAATGTCCCATGAACTTTCAGTCAAAAAAGACTGGTTTTCTAATTATATCAGCTTCTGAACTACAAAAATATTATGTTATTCAGTAAACGTATATGAAATATGATAATGTAACCTCAATAAGTGTAACAAATGCAAAAATGACTTAATGTTGGTTAGTAGAGAAAGCTCAAGTCGTCGCTCGGACTTCATATGTATATTTACTGAACAGAATCCATCGAGTCCTTAAAAGATTTCTCCAAGAGTCTCTGATGGTTTCTTTTTCTAGTCCTTTAGTTGTGATTTTCTAAGGCAGATGAAATGTACTTAAATACTCTTCTGACAGTCATGTTTTGTTATCATGTTTAGTGTGACCTGCATGACGTATTTCCCACAATTTAACTCTTAACTATTTAAGTCTTCATGCCATATGCATTCAACCGGCCACTTCTACCTTTTCGATCATATATAAAACTAACTTTATGGTATATAACAAAAAGTATCACGGTAATATATATCTTAGGAGACTGTACAACTTATTTAATAAATTAACTAAGAATATCCACATATATGATGCTTTAGTCCACTAGAAGAACTATTTTCATCAACAGAAACGTATACACAAATAAAGGCTTATATTCATTTACATGGCTAATTTTAGTACTAAAAGAAGTAAACCAACAAAATCTTTTAGGTTAGTTTCTTATTTTTAATACTTCCAGAAACTGAGCTTCATATACCGGATTTTTATTATATGCCGTTTGTTTTTGAAAAAAAACTCATATTAGCTACTAGGGCTTACAAAGTAAACAAAGCAAGTTAAATGACAAGTCAACATCCACGTTCAATTCCCTTTTTTGTATTTTCCAAACTATGTAAAAAAGTTTTTACCATCTCTAAAATGACTTATTTTTTCATTAAGATATATCATAAAATCCAATTTAGTTTTCGTAGACATACCAAGATTACAAATTTCGTATTGTTACCAAGTCAAAATTAATTAAGAAGAGTACATTTCGGAGCTGTTTAGTACAAATAAGTAAGGCGACAACAAGAAGTCTCAAGGCAGTGGTTTTTTCCTTTTCCATAATTCCTTTAAACTTAGAATTTAGATAAAATACTTTTATTCACCAACTACTATATAGTATTCTTGTTTACTCTAAATTGAATAGGTTTTATCATTACTACACCAAGTTATCAGTATCTACTTAACAGAAATGTCAATTTTAAAACTATTCTATAAGTGTCACAGCAGAAACTATGTAATAACACTATTGAAAAGAGTCAAAACTCACAGTAACACTCAAAAAATCAGTTATCCACGTATGATAATGTTAGCCGGGTACAGATCGGATTAAAACACGATTGTGTTGCTGCATGCTGATTGGCTATTTCTTATCCAACCAGCGCTAGTTGATACTTGTAGAAGACTAGAATCTTGTGTAAAAAAAACAAATATGCTAACGTTTCTCTTATTGTGCTTCTTACTTCCATCTACCCTTGTTATTTACAATATAATTTCGTTCCAGTTCAACCATGTTCTGATTTGGGGACTTGCCGAGTGAATTGGTGTCCAAGAATACTAAGCATCAGGAATAGCTGGGTCGTAATAAGAGAAATTATAAAAGCTAATCCTAAAATTTCTCTCTTTCATTTAAAATAGACACTCAGTCTTCTACAAAATGGCACTAAGAGTTTGTCAGTTTAACTACGAAACTCAATGAACACAATGTAGAACCTGACGCATGTGTTTCGGTTCGAGTTGTCATACCATATTGGCACATTAGCATAAAATTATTTAAATAAAAAACCCAGAGTAGTAGAAGTAGTAACAGTATCAGTAGTATTAGAAAAGATTAGGTATAGAAAGATGGGATTTTGGGACTCAGGTTGTAGAGGAAGATGGGGAGTGGATGCAAATTCTCCATTGTGAACTACTCGTATCCATGTCACTCAAAATCTCCAACTATTGGTTACAATAATCAATTAGTTTTCTTCTAACTTACTCTTATACTAGAATATCCTCCATCGAGAACAAAATGCTATCAAAGATTTACTCACTTAGAGCTAAATACTTATGCAAAGTGAACTTTTTGAAAACTCTATCGTATATTCAATTTTATTTCAAGATAAAAACAATTGCATTTCTAGATTATCATTTACAAGGCCAGAAAATAAAATACATCCTCAAATATCAATTTTATGGTCATTTAATCATATGACGTAAAACAGAAACTTAATAATCTTTCATCACTAACAGGTCACTTCATTTAATAATTTTTAAAAGTTCACAATCAAAATTATCTAGTGATTACAACATAAAACTTTCATGTGTTAGTTATTTATCTACGTGCTATAAGTTTTGATTATTGAACAACTACGTATGTATGTACCACTTGACTTCTAAAATATTGTTAAATTTCATATTACCATAAAGTAATATTGTCTAAAAAGTGATTTGATTAATAGTCTATAAGTGTGTATGGGAAGTGATATCTTTGAAAATTTTTATAAAAATAATTTCTCTTTTAATGACATGTTATGTTCCTTAAACACTATAGTTGATGCTTTTTTATGATTTTATTAAAACTCCCGTTGTAAAAGACTACATTAGAGTAGACAAAAGAATGACCGCTGTGCAAACCATATAGGTAATAAATAAACACTTCCTCTCATAATTTAATTTACAAACTGATTTGTTGATTTATTAAAGTTGTTTACATAGATCAATGCAACATTCTCTATTCAGTTACTTTTTCATTTTGTTTAGTTTGTGTTTATATCGTTTTATAGTTATGCTATTCCGAATAAATTCTGGGAATTAATGGAACCATATTGTGCTGAAATAACGGAGGCGAATGTCAGTTACTTAGAAAGCCTTATCCGATCATATCAGCATTTGGAATCAATTTACTTTCATTTGCCTGTACTCAAACAAAGTGAATCGTGTAAAAATGAAACCAGCGAAGCAACAGGTAAGCCTTAACTGTTGATATGAACTATCCCCTTTATTATTCAATTAGTTTTATTTTTAATATTTTCTTTTCTAATTATCAATCTATACACATTTCACTTATTGTTCATCTGACATTCTTATTATATAGTTGTTTCATCTTAGGTAATTATACTCATTTGATATCTGTAAAGAACCGACTAATTTAAAGATAATATCGGCCATTAAATGAGGTTATGACAAAACATTCACTCATTTTTTAAAGTGCAAAGGTTCATGTACTCGGCTTTAACTTAATCTAAGGGAAAGTGTGAGACTACTCGACAGCTCAAATGAAAGTTATGCTAAGAGCGAAGAGGTTAAACCTGATCTATTTGTTGAGTGTCGTAACTGTGATACTATCATTCCACAATGTTGTGGTAAAAAGCCATTGAAATACACACAACCATGATTAACTGCTTTTCGAGAATATTCAGTAATTTAAATTCAATCCGGCAGTTAGATTCCATGTTTCACAGTATATTTACCTATTACTACTCCAGCATTATGAATTTATATATTGTTAACACTTTTCAAGTTGGAAAGTATATAGTACAGTAATTATCCTCCATAATTATTAATGAATGACTTTTTGCTATCAAGTTGTCTGGTATTTAGATTGATTACGTCATAAAGTGAACATCTCATGGGCACATTTTCTTTTATTTTTATTATGAACTGTATTAATTCAGTAGTACTTAATACTTAGTAGCCGAGTATTTTAAATTGCCTGTGATATTATCTTATCATGTCCATACAATCCGAATAGTATATACTAGGAATCACACTATCCTACGAAACTAGTAGTTAAATCACATTGGCGTCATTATATTTTTGTCTTCTATTTTCAACATAACATAATTCTAATTTGTTTTTCTTATCAGCTTGCAAAAGACTTAGACGTGGTTCTTCTCAAATTTTTCAACAGGCCACTACAGACGAATCATTGTGTTCATTGAATAACTGTAATTCGTCCATGTCCTCATCTCAATTGCTCAATGTAACCAAATACTTGGAAACAGAGCTCAAGTAAGTGTAACACAAATGAAAGTAGATAGATTATTGGCTCTCTTATATAATTGGCGTTGTGATCCGATGTTTAGATGTATACATGCCTACTGTTAAAACAGTCAATTATTCAATAGTTGATCATCAGCAACTCCTTTTTTACTTGTAAGCTGAAGTTACTAATACTTTAATTCAGTCATATATTGACAATATTTTTCTGGAGAAATAATCTTGTTTAGACTTTTTAGTCGAATTCTCATTTTTTATTAAACCTTTTGTGGACTCCTGTCAAGATTCATCACTGAATGATTATTCACTCTAATTTTTTTTACGCGAATTAATACGCTTGAAGAAAAGTACGAAAAAAATAGAATCTAACCGAAATTACAAGTTTTCCGGTTTCAGTAGCAAAGCAGTAACGTGACTTCGCAACTAATTGAACTAATTGTCTCATACAACTGTCATACACAGACCCATTCAGTCTTTGTTTCCTCAGTTTTTTTTTATTTCTTTTGATCAATAATTTCCATGTTTAATATTGTACTGCCAACTATATTATTATTAGTATTATTATTACTGTCACTATCATTATTATCATTTCAACTCTTTTACGCTTCACCTTATTTACTCCAACCCTTATTGTGCTTATGTGAAGTATATATTTGTATCAGGTTTTAAGTAGTCTATAACTGGCCAACTGATCATCAGTTTAATTGTACCGAAACTAAAGGTTATCCTGGTGATTATCTCCAGGATTGCAATTCATTCAATATTTAAATGCCAATTACATACTAACCTTCTCTAAACAACTGGATACCCAATTGTTCACATTTTTTACCTACGTCTATTCGCCGTTTAAAGCGATCCTCAAACAATGCCATTGTTAAGTTCTTTCCGTACTCTTAGGTCGGTCAAGGAAAGAAGTCCTAAACTAAAGGGAAGCAGCTGTCGAGCGCTCCTTGGTCTCCTTCCACTGATAAGAAGTCTCCAAAAACACCACATAAACAAGTTAATGCTCTTTGCTATATCCATAAATCAAAGTCAGAGTTTCGACTTTTTTTCGATATACAAACAAGCTACTTATTCTCCTATATGTCTGTTGTTCTTGAGGGACTTATTTCAATATTCATTAATCCCTTGATATATAACTTGTAATTACTATCTTTTTCAATCATTTATCATATATGATCGATAAATCGTATAATTATCTTTGCTTATTGGACTTTATCACTCATTTCAGAAAGCCAGTCCCTGAATCTTCTATGTTAAGTAAAATATCTCAATCCCTTTTGGAATCTTGTTGTCAAGACGATATACTGTCAAATTTTAGTGGAAAATTAAATTTCACAACAAATCAAGGTAGGTATCTATTTTTTTATATTTCTAATTAATTTCAATTATTCGCTTGTAAAATACTCTTCGACAAATTCGCCTAGTATTAATAATAGATCTTACGAGCAACAAATATTTAATAAGCAAAATTATAGTTTAAGGACTAAACAATCAGAACCAATATAGGGAGTATTGGGGTTTTGTGCAAAATTCAGGAATGGGTGACATTTATCTCATATCACGTGAAATAAAATCAGTAGAAATACACCTATGTATAGTATTCAGAACATTTAAAGTCATGAGGGAAAACTATTTCCTATCTGTCATATAATAAATGTGATGATGTTAAACATAGTAAATGTTCAGTGTTTTCTATGTACGCAATACAGTACATGGAAATTATTCCTATAACCTAATCTTAACCTTAAATGTCGAAATCCTAACCAGTGACTGTGTAAACCCTTAAAAATCTGTTTGTATCCCCATAAACGTTCAAATAAACTCACCTTCTACACCCATGAAGAAGTATTTAGATGGGTTTTTCTCAATTTATAGACAGAACATATTAGCAAACTTTGATGTATGCCTTAATTATTTAAAATCTGTGTACTTTTTGCAATATTATTGTTCTGATTACCATTCCCCAAATCTATTTTCTGATTAGTTAGCAGTTGGCTACAATTCGTCGTGGTTGTTTTAAGCTCGTCTGTATAATGTACGCGAGATAGGATATGTGACCGTAAATGTATAGAGCAACTGCTTCTCAATCTTCAGTATATGTGCAACGTTTAGCATTTTTCCATTCATTTAATGAGTGGATACTTCATATAAGAGCATAATTTTTAAAACGATTTCGTTTCAAACTTTAACTTTCACAATTTACTTGTTCAATCCAGCAAGCTCGGGTATGCTACGGCATCGTTTTCACATAAGTCGATATCTCTAAATGAGTAAAATGAAGTTCCTAGTGAAAACTACAATTTTATATCTAGCAGTGACACCAAACGAATAGAAAAGTACTCGAAAACACTAGATATCTTGTTTTTATTGAATATTGAAAAAGGATGTTTGTCCTCACACATGTTTTAACTGCTTAAATGATATTACTAGTAAGGAAATAGACATTTTTAACTGAACCATTATAGAATGTTACCGTTTATATATTAGCTTTGACTGTCCTGTTAGTATGTGTGTGTGTGTGTGATACATATCAATATTTTATCATTTCTTACCTCATTTCAATTTTGTGCAACTTTGGTAATATGAAGTGCGTTTAGATAAGCCTCATACAAAAAATATTTCTTGCCAGCGTGTTACATAAACCTGTATTTAGTTTGATAAAATGATTTTACAGAAAATTAATTTTAAAAAACATCTCATTTTTGTTTGATTGTAATCATTGACTGAACTACTGTTTGCAAAGGCTTTATTTAAAAAGTAGCCGTAATAACAAACAGACAATTTTCTCACATTTTTGTTCAGTGTATATTTTAGCATGCTGATTATCCGATAACAATTCGATGTCTGACTAGTTTTTCCACTTTTACCATAGCTAATGACACTTATCACAGTGGTACGTAACAACAATTATAATTAAAACCACTATAAAAACCGATTTTTAGTAATTGGTAATCTCAGTCACTATCTGGGAAGTCAATAACAATATTTTTGGCAAATGCCTTTTTTATTTAAACACATAAACGTTGGTACAATGCGGCACCAAATATACATGCGCCACACTTCATCATCTGATTTATGTGAGGACTGGAAAACTGCCTGAGTGCCCAAACCGAAGCAGGTGGTCTTCTCAGAAGGACACCCCCAAGTCATTGACCTAAAAGTCTTATCCACAAGACAGTGGAGAGATGCAGTCCCACGGTAGCCAGTGACCAACAATAGGTTGGCGCGCCATCTGTTCCGTCAGGATCCTGAAGCGTATGTGCACTATTGGTTTGGAAGCAGGGTTTTCTTGCTCTTCTAAGTGGTTCCTTTGTATCCACCATCTTGGTTAAAGCGTCGGACATTCGCCTTTCGTCCTCTGAATCTCGTAGACAAGACCCCACGACGAGAAGTGAGTGAGTAGGATTTCCCTGAGTGTTTGTATACATGTGGTCATGTGAGAGCGTTTCGAGAGGGAGAGCAAACTCTACCTACCATCGACCATACCAGAGCATTTGGGGGCCATGGAGGTGGTTAGTTAGGTCTTAGTGAACATTTTTTCTTAATAAAATAGAGATGTATACGTAAATGTTTCAAGTGATATAACTTTTTCGAGCAACAAAATAAGTCTCAGAGGTATAAACTATCACTGAGCAATAAAATTACCTCTCATCTTTTTGTTTAGTATTAACTCAGTGTATTCAGATCTTGATTGTTGTGCATTTAAAGCATTTCTGCGACTGTGATAGTCACAAAATTATTTTCATATAGGAGGTACAAGTAGAATTAATTAGTATATTATTGAATAAATTATCTGATATTTTGTTAAGCTCTTCATGTGTACATTTTCTTATTCTACTGTTCACCTGAGTATATGTAAATAAATAGTTTTAATCAATCACTGTTATTCTCAGTGATATCAGATTCTGAAAAGCTTTTGTCATAATTTCTTCATTTTTTTTCTATTGAACAGTAAAAGATAATGAAGTTGAAGATAATCAATCAGGATGTACTGATCCTAGTAGTTCCGATTATGGAACTATATCATCTGAAGCTCTACATGTCAACAGATACAACAATAACACCAATTCGTCAAACACATTGATAAATTCACAAGTGACGAACTATCCGTCATCAGGATCTATGATAACAAATCACAATTTCTTAATCGATCCACACTTGCTTACTTCACGCGCTAGTGAACCACTTAAAAGTATAGCTAAACAATTACGTGTCAGTTCATCATATCGAGTAGAAAAAAAGATTGCACAGGCGATTGATGAACTGGGCTTGTTTCCCCTTAGTGTGTTACATCCAAAAGTTTCACCTTTGGTTGAATCTAAAGAAGATTGCAATCCTCACAATATATCTTCCGGCGCAGTATGTCATGATACTGTTTCTCATTCAACAAAGTTAATTATCCGAAAAAATAAAATTACTTCATCAAATTCAGTGAAATCAAGTCCATTGAAACATTCAAATGAAGTTCAAGATACTCTTGAGAAAAATCATGTTTTAAAAAAACGTCGAGTGAATAATGACAAATCATTATCTCCTTTACCTGAACATCACAGTATGTGTTTCTCATTATATTTGCCTTTAAAAATATATCGTCTTTGCGTTTGCATTTATCCTCCGACATCTCGATTTTAATTTCCCCTAGTATTACGTATAACAAGTAGTGTTTCTGACATTCCATTTTATTTTTAGTTATCACTTTGTGTCTACTGACAAGTAGCATAAATTTTAATTACAATCTAGAACACCCAAAGCAGGTTGAACCATATGGTTTACATGTTCAGTTGTATTAAGAAGGCAATTCTTTCATTCTTTTCATCATAACTATGAGATAATTACATGTAAACATTTTTCAAGAAGCTTTAACGAAGTTAATGTGCTCAACCGAACTGGAGAAATTGAAATCGCACACTGAAATTATTCATAACCTTCTTCCTTTCCATAGTTATACGGCAATGAAGACGTGAGTTGAAAGACGGTTTTATAAGGCTGAAATATTTAGATGCATCATAACTTCTCTGTTCGAGGTCGTAGGGATTGTGAAATTGGGTGACTTGAGCTGTTATCAGATATGCCTCGGAATAAAAGCCATCGGCGATCCTGTTATAGTCTTCTACTACTCTTTATAAAGTAAGATAGAGTCCACCAACTGAAATCTTTCCTGGTTGTGTTTTTAACCTCATTGTATCTCTAATTGAACGCCGTTTTCACTTATTTCCTTATCGAATGTATTACGCTTTCACCCATCTTATTACAATATGATCGCTTCATTTCTGTAGCGCGTTTTTTCGGTGACCTATTGTCCCAGGATTCATATAGTTCAATAGGCAATAGCTGTTTTATATAGATTATGAAATTTGGAAAAATCAGTGTTATTGAATTCTCTAAGCCAGATGGTTTTCATTGTCTTTCTGTATAAAATCATCAATGCTTACTTCATGTAGAAGTGAGCTTCCTAGTTGTTCCATAAGCCTTAAATCGTTCTATTTTGTTACCCTTGTTTGTGATTAATTTTCGTCATAGGTTTCATTATTTGCATTTTTGTTTTGGGACGAGAAAAATCAACTTGAATATCAGAATAAATAAAAGTAATGAAACCTACGACGACAATCACTCTGAAACAAGATCAACAAAGCAAACCGATTTAAGTTTCAGAAAATAACTATTCAGCTCACTTCTACATGAAGTAAGCGCTCATGATGTGACAGTGAATGACTGTCATAATATGTCATATACTGATTAAAGTTGACATTGCCTGAAGATTCTAAGTTATGTTACTGGTGTTAGGGTCACAATTACACACTACTTTGTCGTCTCAAACTAGAACAAAATGACTGTGTAATCCCCTCTGATTTTTAATGGCTGTTTAGTTCATATCAGTTTGTGATAAAAATTCATCACTTCTGTGCTACGATTATCTACCGTACTACCCTACGTTATTAATTCCATTCACCCATGCTATATATGTTTTCTTTCTAAAATCTGCCACCCCTTCCCACTATTAACAAATAATTTGACCGTATGCTATTTTCAATAATATGCATTCATTTGCAAAATGTTCTTTGATATGAACTGGTGCTCTTTTCTCGCTATCTATTCTCAATATAATTTTCTTTGTTTAGAAAATATAACATACAATTCATGTTTGAATTAATCGTTTTTATGTCTGTGTGTATGCGGAGGCATTGATCGTAACTTTAATTTATTAATGCTATCAAAGGGCATAGAGATTAAATCGTATTCACACAGATGCTATAGCACTTTATTTGTTTATAGAAACAGAATTTGATCTATTTAAATCAATATTTTATATTGTTCTCTTTGTTGTTTTCAACCTATTGTTCACTATATTCGATTAACAAACACTAAAAAGTTGTCTTAATGTCTGTATTGCTTCACTAAGTTCTCGTTGTTTTTCACTCTCTCTCGCGCGCGCTTTCTCTGATTAACATTGTTGCCATCATTTAAATAAATTCAACAATTCATTATTTATATTCACGTTTTGGGATTTTGACAAGGTAGCATTTTGAATAACCTATCGAAAATAATGGGACACAAAATAACTATCATTTGTCAGATGGATTTTTCCAGTCAACCAATGTTGAATCGAGTTCGTGATCTAGCGTATATCCATAGCTGCATGTTCTATTAAAATACCAAATGATGAACAAATTAACCGCATATATAAAACAAAGGGTAGTGGTAGATAAATATAATTTATCGGATGGTTGTTTTTTGGCAAAAAATTTTTAATCCCGTTTTGTCCAATGAAATGATTAGTTTTAAAATGGTAATTATTGGTTAGTAATTTCCGAAAAGTGATATAAAACTTTAACATTCCTCGAGTGATCACCTTTTCTTCAAACTATGAACGTAAATAACTTACAAAGCACTAGCTGTATTGTTTTTAACGTTATCACGGATATCGGTAACGTGTTCCTGGGTACGTTGCATCTGATAGCGTCTGTCAATGAACATTCGAGCACACATTTTCAAAAACAAATTAACCAGTCACTTAATTTTGTAATCATTCCCAGAAAATTTTGACCACTAGGGTTCAGGAATCAATAAATGTCAGTCGTCATAGGTTGACCGTCAGTGATGGAGTTTCGTTCTCTGAGTTGAATAGAGAACAAAACTACCAAAATCACCCACTTGTGCTACAAATTTTCTCCACTTCTGCCATTGGTTGTGTAACGTTTTCTGTTCATTGATATCACGAACCGATCCAAGTTATGTTTGGTCCACTTTATATGTAAACGGTTTCGTTAAAACTTTATTTAAAAAGTTACACTTTATTTACCCCATTAAATGTCGGATGCGTTATGCAACCACGGATGGATAACCTCTTAAACAATAAAGAATTTAAAATAAATTCTATCTATGGCAGTAAGAAGATACACATAACAAATTCTATCTCAAAAAGAATACGTGAAATTGAATGCTAAAATGACAGGAAATTAGATTAAGCTTAAATTAAAAGAAATCAACATATAACTGCTTTTCTGTAACAATTTTACCCGTGTGAACCTCAACTAAATAATACCTCCGAGCATACAACTCAGTAATATTTACTTTTGAATGAGACTTATTTCACATTGTTCATAAGTTTAGATTGATACTTAACTGCAGTATACATCAAATCGTCCAAAATCTTGTGCCTTGTATCTTTCTAAAGAGAACCCAAATAACGTAAGAGGTAAAAATTTGTTATCTGAAATGCATTCCCTTCCATAACAATAGGGAAAAGTTCTCTTTTATTTACCGATAAAAAGTGTCATACTACTACCCTTACTCATTTTGGAATAAGATCCATCTTCATATAAACTTGGTTCATAAATCAACATTGTTTGATGACTTTCATGAATTATCATTTATTTAAATGTACCCATACCCAGTCGTTTCGCTTAAACAACCTGGTCGTGAGTCCACTACAGCTGGAGCTTATTCATCATTAATCTTCATACGAAAGTTTTTGGTCTATATATTTATGAAATGACTACACTTTGTTCCATCCATAACTGATTACATTGTTCTCTTCTTGCCCATAGAAAATACATCATGTGAACCAAATCCAACAGATAGTGAACATTCCACGGAATTATCATTGTTACCTGTGAAAATGGAAAATATCAATCCGATTATCGATAACAATAATGATAATAATAATAATAATAATGGCCGAATTAAATCTACATGTTATTTAAAAAAATTAAAACGAAAGAATTTAAAAATGTCAAAATCGTTATGTTATAAAAATAAATTACGAAACACTGTGAATAGTAATAGTACACATAATGAAATTCTGTACAATGGAATAACTCCTAGTTTGGATGATTCAATTGAATCAAACAAATCGGTAATTTCTTACTAGTAATCATATATTGTATCTATTATTGTGTTAATATTTTAATTTAATCACTGTTTTGATACACTGATTGATTCTATTTTCATTCAGAATAATAATGTCATGAAATGTTTAGCATAATTCTATTGTAGTGAACGTGAACTCAGGTGGTAAAGACCACTTTGTTGTTTAATACAAAATTACAGAATGTCTTCGTGAAAACCATACATCACAAATACTTCATTTGCACAATTCCCATCAATTGTCTCTGACAAAAGTCATCGTTCTTTCATTCCTGTTGTTATTAAAAAATACTCTTTGTTTACATTCCTGTTCTCTTCATTTCAATCTTATCAACCCTTTCCTGCTAGACATTTCGCTTCTGATTAGTGTTACATACCAATTATGTTGAAAGACATAAGTAGCATACACCACTATATTAACTAACTAATTACGGTCAAAAACGGTAAATAACCTCGGTAATTTGACATTTCTAAATTAGGAACTACACAATGTATTTATTTATTTATTTGTTTATTTATTTACTTATTTGAACACATAAATATTGGTACAAGAGGGCACCAAATATATATGCGCCACACTTTTGTTTGTGGGCCGTGATACTGCCCGGGTGCCCAGACCGAAACAGGTGGTTTTCTTAGGGGGCCACACCCCGAGCTTTGGACCTAAAGATCTGACCCATAAGGCAGTGGAGCATCGTGATGAGATGCAGTCCCATGGAAGCCGGTGACCGACGATTGGTTCATACGCCATTTGTTCCCGCAGGATACTGGAGCCCATGTGCACCATTGGTTTGGAATCCGGTTAAAGCACCGGACATTCGCTTTTCGTCTTCTCATTTTCGTAAACAACACTCCTGCCACGAGAAGGCAGTGAGTAGGACTTCCCTTGCAGAGGCTGTATACGCGTGGCCATATGAGAGCATTTCGCGAGGAAGAGCGGGCCCACCCCATTCTCGGCCATACCAGGGCATTTGGGGGCATGTTCACTGTAGTCTTGGGTACGTCTGCATATATGGGTAGACCAACGTGCTATCGCGACTGAGATGATAGTAGAGTGTGAGGTCCCAAGAGGTGCTGAGGTCGAAGTGTGACTATGATTTATGACGATAAATCAACTGTAGCAACTCAAATGCCTTTGTTCCTTCCCCTCATTTAAATGTTGAGGATCCTATCACCGTATTTTTATTTATTGCCTCCTTTTCCTGTTCTCGTTTTCATCATTGTTCATCAACATCATGATTTACTAGTGCTACTTTTCCTCGTCAAATCATTTGTGTTAACTACAATACTCACCTTTTTTGATAATACCTCCATACAAAAGGTAATTTGCCACGAATGACCAATCTGATGTGTGTCCATGATACCTATTCACTTGTTCCAAGGGAGCGGTTGATTTTATCGAGGCCACTCTTTTGTTTTCCCTAAGACTTGTAATTTTTTAAATACTGTGAATATGATCTTGATTTCCTCCATAAAGAGTATTTTGTAAATTTATAAATGTTATGAACAATCGGTCCCTTCAGTAAATATCCATCTATTCATATATTGTATGTGAATTGCTCTGAATAACACATTTTTCAATAATATTCTCACACCTATATTGTTTTGTTTTTTTATTAAATTCAAGGATTGCATTCCTAACTCTCATCCTGATCCAAATCTTCCTACCATCGACACTGAATATTTCAGTGACCTAGATAATCCTCCAGGAAATCACGATCCACATATTAATGTCAGTCCACGCAATCGTAATGGTTTCACTACTCAACTGTCGACGGAAAATGAAAAGCGACCAATTGATCCAACAAGTCCTAAACAAATCCACCATTCTCTAAGGCATAATCGTTTTTCACCGAACAATTTATCTGGATCTCATTGTAATACGGACAGTAATCCTCTATATGGGTCGTTAGAAAATCATGAACCAGTTCTCGTTAATGGTGATTTATCACTATCTGAATTTCACAGTGAAAAATTGACGGAAAATGATAGATTAGATGATAAACCGAATTCGAATTGTAATACTTTTGAGGGCGATTGTGAAACAGCTCAGGTAAATTCTTCCTATCATTTAAGTTGACTTTCTTAAATATGAGAAACCTGTTTCAATTGCCTTAACCAAACATGGAAAAATAATCACTACATGAACTTAAGCATGGTTGATTTTAATAATAACATAACGTTGTATAGTCTACATGATTAATCACTGAGTTGCTGGGCAGCGTCAAGTTTCATCTTTTAATGTTGCTTGAATTTTACTGATGACTCAGACTATTAACTTAGGTGATCTAGGTTTAAATCCCATGCGGAATATCGGTTTCCCCAAGATTACAGCAATTCTTTACTGAGCACAAGACATAGTTCTGGAGTTTTGTACTGATTAAGCCCAACCACCTAACACATTGTCTAACTTATCTTTACTTAAAATAGAGAAAAGTAATCATTTTATCGCTATGCTTACGCTGTAACAGTTAATTAAAATGTTTCCAAACACCAGGTCAATATCTTGAAAAATCAGATCCAAGGGATTTTATAGTAATGATTAAATACAAAATAAGAGACGAGACTCGGTGATCAGTACTTATATTAGGCAACATAAATGATGACTGGTCTTCCATTGATTGTAAAATAACAGTCGGTCATTTAATGAAAGACATTCAAACTTAGATTACACCCGATCGTAGCAATACATTTCCATTTATGAAAATAAATTGTTTTCAATAAAATTTATAAAGGTGGCTAGCAGTGAAAACCAGTTTGCGTGTTCCGTCTCAATTGGGGCTCGTTAGCTGGATATATCTGCATCCCAGAATTGATGCTCATTGACCGATTCCAGTCCTCAACAGCAATAGGAAGTTTCGAGCAGCCAATACAAATGAATTAAAAATATGTATAACTAGACATTTGCTATTGTTAACATGTATGCTCTAATTTAAACTACTAAGAATAGCTGATCCCTTACTACCACCATGTCGATTTACTTTCACTTACATGTCTTTTGTGTTTTTCTGCTGATTTAAATCCTAATAAGTTTAGGTTGTACTTTGGAATTAACTTTGGTTATATAGATAGTCACTGGAAACCAAGAAGCACTTGACATCTATTTCATCCTAGAATGCGACTCCCCGGAAGCGTGTACCCACAAACCCATTATATTAATAATAATCCTGTGATTACCAGTGACAAATTTCGAGAAGTCCAACCATATTGGATGTTTGGTAACTATCCATCTATCATACTGTAAGGTGGTTGTGCATCATGTCAAATTAATTGCAATAAAAAATGTAAAACATCGATTACTAACCCACTCGCTTTAAGGTTAAGCGCTTATCGTGAGATCTGGAGGTCCTGGGGTTGTGGATGGGCGCTGTTCAGGAGTCCCACACTAGGACAAAACAACTATTCTATCGTCCCTTTATCTAATGTTTGTCTGACATATTTCAGTTCGTAACATAAACCATTCATCCCACTTTAGTTGATTATATATTGGAATAATGGTTCACCGAAGAGCAATGCAGTATGAGCATTTCATTCTATTTGAGATTTGTCATTCGAATTTAGCTGAGTCATATTGTTAATATCCTTGTTGGATGAAACTGGCTTTATTCTACTTCATTTCATGAAAGCCATTAACATTTAGTTAGTTTAAGTATCAAAACTTCCTTAACCTTTATAGCACATCCTTTTTTGTCATGATAACTTCTACTGTATCTATAAAACACTTTCCAAATTCGTGGTTGACATCTACATAAATTTATTTAATATTACTTTAAAATGTTTATGAAATACTTTTTAATTAGATAAAAATTTTATTCTAAATTTTCCTCAAGGTATTAGATTCCAACTTACACAGTTCCTTGAACCAAAATAATGAACAATTTACTTCTCCACTTCAAAATGGTCAACTCAAATTCAAAATAGATTCCAACTGGACAGAAAGGACAAATAAAACAAATGATTTAACAGGGAAATGTAGTCATGAAGCTTCTCCTATAATCCAGCATAACGATTCAAAGTTACCGGACTGTGGTATCAACACAGTGATTCAAAATCATATATTCTTTAGTCAAGATACTCCATCAACAGCAACTACACAGTATGGATCTGGTGCTGTTGATGATATTGGCTGGGCTATTGTTCAACGTCAACGGGAGTTGAGATTGTTATGCACGGCAAACCATCGAATGCTTCGACGACTCGTACAGGCAGCTAGAAGAGATATGCAACGCCAAGAAATACAAAGGCGTCTAGCGATCGCAGACGCTGATGTAAGTTCAAAGCTGTTAGTTTTTTTATAGTAAGTTTTGGTCATAATTTTTTTTTTAGATCACATGACCCCGGTGCTCACTTGACTAGTTGATTTGCCCAAGAAGATATCAAGTCAATGAATCGAATTTATTCGATAAAGTTTACAAGACTAATGAAATTGTGTACACCTTCATGTATACGATTACATTGGTTTCATTTACAAGTTTCAACAAAACAATAACGACAATATTTATAAAGTTTTCATATTACACCGTCTTTTCGACCCGAAATCATGACAGAAAAATATTATGATCCACTGCTGAAACTGCAAAATGACGACACTAAGTATTATCGTTCTTTCCTTGTTTAAAATTTTGTGTATATATTATGTTCATACAACGGACGATCTATCAAAAGTTACTATAATAACAATTAAGTCAGAAAAAGCAACAAAACACTCTGGTACGCTCGAGGGTGGAAAGAGCCCTCTCGTCCTCTCCAAATTTTCTCTTATGGTCATGAGTATGTAGTCTCTCCCATGGAAGTCCTACTTACTCCTCGCGGCGTGAGTGTTTACGAAATTAAAAGGACGAAAAGCTAATGTCCGGCGCTTGAGCAAGGTTGGTAGGTACGGAGGATCCGCCTATGGAATTTGGAAATTCTTGAATCCAAACCATTGGTCCATTGGGCTTCTGGATCTTGAGGAACAAATGATGTATGAGCCTATTTTTCGAGATATCATCTCTAATGTCGCCCCACCGTATATGAGTGTAGCCCACTGAAATTTCATCTGTTTCGGTCCGGGCGCCCGGGCACTATCCCAACGCACATAAATTTAATGATAAATGATTTGTGTGGCACATATATATTTCGGTGCCTTTTTGAACCAATGTTTGTATGTTTAGATAAAGTCGAACGAAAAAGATATCTCCCCTTCCAAATTAGCTTTACATCGATTTCCTTTAAATAAAACCTTATTTTCTCTTGGTAACTTTCCCTACCTCATTTCAACTTGGTGAAACATAGTTATATGTTAATAAATAGACGAAATAAGCTTTGTGTTTTTTTTAATATCTTTTTTTTACGTTATGTTGAATACAAATGATTCTTTTCATTAATGTAATTGATATAACGGATAGTTTAAAATATTTATCTCTCGCTCGAGTATACTGCGATAATACGTTAATATGATAATAAGATATGTCACGTTATATCAGATCCAGTATTCGCGACCTAGAATGGAGAACCAGAGTATAGACTAAACAATATTCTGTTCAGCACAATTGCAGGCAATCACTGTCAGTGAGTCCGGAGTAGAAGTCAATAACAGGAAGGAAGATTACATATTTAGTGGTCAGTAGGCTGTGTCTGTTTCTTCACACTCAGTGGAAAATCATATTTCATTTTTACTACCACATATCAGTAATCCAATAAACGTGTAAATACTGTTTGTAAATGACATGGTTAATACTTAAAAAATATTTTAACGAATAAGTGGAATAATCCATTTAGACACCATATCTCAACATCTCTATTAAAAGATACACAGTTTTCATGCTTGAGACTGCATAATCTAATAGATTATTTTTAAATTCCAGTAGTAGTGAGGATACACACATACATTTACACATCTCTCTTCCTTTTATTTGAAGTGATCGAGAACCTTTCTAGCCCAGGTGGATGATTTAAGTGTAGTTTTGTTTACTGAGTTCAAAGAAGTACTTGTACAATTTGTAATATTACTAATAAATTTGTAAATAAAATACTTCTTTTGTTTTGAATTATTCAGGTTATTGAAGCTTATAATAAACTAGAAAGTTATCGTCCACATCGTAAACCTCCATTGAAACGTGATCGTGATATCTCATGGAAAGCATTGAAAGAACGTCGTAAAATACTCAAAGAATTAGAAGCTTTTGATGCTAAATCTCCTTAAAATTGTGATGATCAAATTAATTCAACCTATAATAGTTTAAATCCACTTTGTACATAATTTAAACTCTATGTTCATTCTTTATTGTTTCTTAAAAATAGAAATATTATTAATTGTAATATATTTTATTGCTTATCCTATCATATAGTAATTGGGAAAATGTGTTTTTTTCCCTTTAATGTTATGTAGAATCTCACATCAATATTAATAAATAGTTTTGTATACTTTAAAACAATCTGTTTTCTGTTCTTGTTTATTTTCTGCTTGGTTTCCACTTTTTCCAATCAATGCTTTATATAATTTTTTCATTGGTTTTTTGTATTCTTTATGTATGTATGTATGTATGTATGTATCTATTTTTTTTACTCTTATGTAAGTTTTTTTTGTTCTTGTTGTACATAAATTTATCGGGTTTCTATTCAGTTCGTTTTTTCTACAATTAACTAACTGTATACCATGATGCTCAGCATTTTGTTCGATATCGTTTTATGAGTTCATTGTTTTCTTTAATGAAACAACAGTCTTTCTACAACCTTTACTATATATATAATGATTATTACTACTACCACATTTGTTTAATGTATTCATTTATTATAAGCAGTAGATTTCAAATATACTATCTACTGACTAAGCATTATTCTTTTTATCTGATTGTTGAAGTTATTATCGTTACACAATGTCATGTTCTACGTTGTGACTGACTGATACAGTATAATGTATATCAGCAATTAAATAATAACTGTGCTTTTCTTGTCTAACACATTGTTTTATTTGTCACATTGCTGAAGTGAATCATCCCAATTATCTGAGTTCAGATATCTTACGAAGAATAATCTAAATTGTGGGTGGTTTCTTTTTTCAATAATCCATATCGGATTAGGATAGTATCAAACCTAAAGGCAACCACAGAATGATTGTTTCATTCCAATATGGAGTACGACTATATCAGGATTAAGACAGTCTTTGTCATTGGAACTAGATGATTTCCGCGCTACATGGCGGATTAACTGGAGTTGGAAATGTGGAACACATGATTCCGATTCAGAATGATCTATGAGTTAAGTGCTCACTACCAAACTTGAATATTGTGGGTGTGCACTACTTAAGTGGTCTGCGATGTGAAATGACTGTAGTCATTGAAATCTTACTTTTGGAAATGGCTTTTCTGGTTACCCTAATTAAGTTCAGTCTCTTACAACATGTCTCAATTCCACTACATTTGAATAAACACGGTTAATTCAAGCAAAAAACATTTTCTCTAGTTAATGTGTTAGTTTATTCCCAAATACATGAGGTAATTCTATTAATTAAATCTGAAATTTAATCTTATCTCTGTAATTCTGACATTCTAGTAATGGACTGATTTTTGAAACTTGTTATCTATTTTTTTATAGGTTTCAAATAAACTATGTAGATGTACTTACTCTAGGCATACATTGATTCTTTTATGAGATTTAAAGCGTTTCAGTTCAAAAGATCAACTTAGCTCATCTATATCAGCAAAAATAATTTGAGAATAAAGTAACTCATTCGTATTACTTGCTTCTATTAGTGTGCTTTTTTGAAAAGAATCCCAATGAGATCTAATTAGAGTACAGTTAATCGACGGTTTGGTTTTAAGCCACATTAATAAGTGGTTTAACTGTTTGCTTACATGTAGTTTGGAATAGACATGTGTGGTTCTTTGCTTTCTCACAAAATCGGGTAGGAGTACCCAAGGATGAGTCAGGTATGTGAAATAGCAGCCTAATTCTTACAACGACTTCAAACCAATTGGTTGCAGGTTCGAACCTCCTCCACCAACTTAGGTTTAAACAACCGTGTAGTATTACTAGCTTTCACACTAACAATGTAATTCAGGACTGAGTACATAGACTTGTCTTTGGTAAACGAATAATATGACTGATATATAGGACGTCCATCTTCATATAGAAACTTAGAAAACATTGACTAAATAAAACCCATGATTCTGACAGTGTGGATTTCAAAAACCTGGAATGGCTATCGAGTGTTAGAGAATTGTGAATATTAGTGCTCCATCACCTAATGAATCAGGTCTGTAAAGATTTAAAGTTAGTCGCTAACCAAAACATTGCTTTTGTTTCAGCATCAGAAGAATATTTCAGTCGTCAGAAACTCCATATACAGATAATTAAACCGATAAAAATACATTACAATTTGAATGATAATGTAAAATTAGTCTACAGTATAGCTTAAAAGCTAGTATTGGATGGTTGAGTATAGTACCCTGATTATGATACTTGTCTTTTGGTTCAGTAAGCTTATATATGTTGTCTTAGAGATTTTTTGTGGATGGTTGTTCGATTTTTTTATTGATAGTATAACCACAAACGTTATTGTCCATTCAATACACTCGATTAAACCCTCACTAATAATTGCTTAGGTAAGGCTAAACCACAGTAAGAGTTGAGTGTCATACAACTCGTTTTTGTTTTTGTCCAACACTGAAACAATAGCTTTTAATCAAAACTGCGCTGCTAAAATAATGACTAGCTAGAGACTTAATTTTCATACTAAACACTTGGACAGTTAATAAGGAATTATTCGTCTCTCCTAAGATAACATAGATCATAATCTGTAGTTTTGAATGTCTGCAAAATTTCCGTCCTAAATTTATCGATATAAACAGTATGACTACATCTGCTCTTACAAATCATAGTTAAATTTGAACTCAACTACTTTTCCATTTAAATATCCGCTCCAACATCAGTTGTAATTACTGTACACCATAAAAGTTATCAATAAAACACTGAAGATACCGGTCAATGTTTGTACTTATTTCCTTTCATTATGAAATATTTCTAAAAACCTTTAAGGACTAAGTTTTGAAAGATTTCGTGTTGTATCCATCATGTTTAGTTTCCTCGCATGTAAATATTTTTTTTGTTTCGAAATTACTTTTTAACTTATGTTATCTTAATTAGTTCAAATTTGTGAATGAGAATTTAATAAGTTCATTTTATACTCTCAGTTATGGTTGTTTATTCTACTTCAAATGCAATAAAAACAGTTGCTTATTCTAGAATTGAAGAATATTCATCAATAGGTGTGATAAGCTTTTATGTATGAAACAACTGAATATTTCCGAATTAATTTCAACATTAATAAAAGGATAGTTTGATTTTTAAAATCTTTGACTTTCAGTCATTAGATCAGAAAGTTGAACTTGTCTCCTCTACTTCATTTTGGCGAGGCATCGCATAACAAAAATTATACTAAAACCCGAATACATAAACTTCTACTTGATAAATGAGTTAATTTACATTGCTTACAGGATTTTTAACACCAACAATTGATTATTTATTACTCTCAATCATCATCCAAATTATACATGAGTAGATGCATATCATGAGAAACTTGAATTTTTCGATCTAATGAGTAATATTTTTGTTTTATCAAACTTTGTAACTGGCCTATCCATCAAGCCAAAACGAGGATGGAGTTTAAGATTACTAGTTTCTTCAGTGTCACTAAGAAATAAATCTAAGAATATTTGCGTTAATTTGAGCCAATTATTTAGAAATCTTAAAAGTATGCTTATAACTATCTTATAATCTCCTTACATTCGATTGTTTATCGTATGTTTCATTTTAAATTTTCAGTTATACTATTTATAGCTACCTATTTTAAGTGACTGTCCTTCTTAATTCTTTTTCCGAATACTGTAAATCAGCAGTTTACAAGAAACTCTTCTCGTCTCTTGAATAAGAGATTTTTATGGAATGTATATGCATTCCAACCATTTGTTGCACCACAAAGTAACTATTCATCAAATCAGTCGAATAGACAGAATCAACACAGTGATACTCATCAAACAAGTCTATTTTTCAAATCAATTTTGTTGACCACAGCTCTTGCAAAAATTTGTCACGACAATGAGGATTCAAATGATGCTCAACAAAAATCTCATCCTGCATATAGTACTCCGTTAGTTGTAAAATGTGCAGAAATTGTAAAACCAATGTCTAAAGACAGACAAGCTGCAATTAAAGCTCTAGACGTGGTTGCCGATGTTGCTCAAGATGTTCAACCAGCAGTTGTTTCAATCACTAGTACCGAGTTAGTTTATTAGTTATTATTGTTAACTATTATGCTATATATTGAATAACTATAATCAATATCAACTTAAGAGTTTTGATTATTAATTCTTATTAATTTTAAGTCTTCTGTGTCGTTTAATCGAAACCAATAGATAAGATTTTAATAATGTGAATACAATCTATAATCAGCTAATCTGAGTATACTTTGCACCGATAGGTCAACAGTCGTAGTTTAGACCAGTAATACTACATTCTGATCGTTAACAACTAACTTTGAGTAATGACCGAGGACATTTTTAAAGCTTATCGGTCCAAGATGCATGCTTCTCTGTAGCTCGGTATTCACTCAGATCCAGAGACAGAGGAAACAGACAAAACTCCTATTATATTATATTTCAAACACAAGTTTATATATATATAAACTAGGAGACTGTAACACACATCAAATAAAGAATCATTAAGTCAGATGGTAAGCAAACTAAACAATACGGGAATAAGTATTCGTCGATAATTTATGATTATACTTACTCTTACTTACACCTGTTTCTCCCAATGGAACATAGGCCACCGACCACCATTCTCCAACCCACTCTGTCCTGAGCCTTCGTTTCCAGTTCTATCCAATTCTTGTTCATTCTTCTCATGTCTGTCTCTATTTCTTGGTGTAATGTATTCTTTGGTCTTCCTCTTCTCCTTTGGTTTTGAGGATTCCAAGTAAAGGCTTTCCTTGTGATGCAGTTGGGTGCTTTCCTCAATGTGTCTCCTATCCAATTCCGGGGCTTCTTCCCGATTTCTTCCTCCGCTGGGATCTGGTTTGTTCTCTCCCATAGATTAGTTCAACTGCTCTTCAGTCACAATTAACTAACCTATTATCTCAAAGCAACCTGAAGAACGAACTAATGTAAGTTCTCCAACTCTTAGTGAGTTTGAAAAGGCTATAAG